CTCTAAGTGCTACTTTTTCGAAAAATTTTCGAAAAATTTTAATTTGACTTTTAAACATCATAAAATTATCAATAACAATTAGCCCGATGTGATATTTTAAAGTGTTATGATAATCATTTCAAAAAACATTTTCTTACTAATACACAACATCGATTTGCTTAGTAAAAAAACGAGTATTTGTATTACCCGTTTATTTGATTATTTTGACAGATCATCAAGTGAGTCGATACTTTTTGTAGGGGTGTGTATATCCAAGCTTTCACCCTATCTCCAAAACTCAAGAGGCGACAGAAAAAATGGTAGGAGTCACACAAAAAAAGATGATAAACTATAAAGCAAACTTGAGACTATTCCATCAGAATCATTGGTCTATGAAGGTTTATTATTACAACAGAGAAGAAAAATATAAAGATTTCATGGCATTATTGATCAAACACGAAAGGACAAAACAACAGTTGTATAATACAAATCAACAAATCAAACATCTCAAGGAAAAATTAAATATGTTTGAACATGAACAGGACAAAAGAGGACAATAATGATTTGAAAATCAAGTGGAACTTTTATAAAGAATTATTAATGATATTATTGAAGAATCAAAACTTGGTTCAATGATACTAATCAGTACTGAGCAATTTTTATCATTAATTTACAACAATCTTGCAGTTATTATGGCAAATATTTTTACTTGACAAAAAGACAACAGTTTCAACTGCTGGATTTGTTGTCAAATTTCATGTAAAATGCAAACCTTGCAAGACTGTTAGTGAATTTATTAACAAATCAGAAACCAATTTCAATGCTTGTGTGGCAGCAGCAGGATTGGTAGGAGGAATCAACAGATAATCACTTCAGATGATTTTAGCTTGTGTAGGAATTACTTTGCAACTTGGTAAAACTTCTTTCCATCAATACCAAGGAAAGACTTTTAAAGAAATCATAGAAACTTAGTGCTGATACAGTTTTACAAAAGGTTATAAAGCATCATAAAGCAAACAAATCATACAAGTTAGTTTTGATTGCTCTTGGTCTCATGTACATAATGCTCAACAAGAAAGTGGTGAAATGATCTATGGTGGAAAAGATATTGAAGGTAAATTACTTATTCATAATTTTTATAACATTTTATAATTTATAAATATTTATAAACTTTTATATAAAGGCTACTTATATAAACCAATAACTGCCTTCTATGTTGTTGAGAAACCCCATAAGATGAAAATGAAAAATAGAGAATTATCCAGGAGGGTCACTTTGAGTTGAGTTCACATAAAATGGAGCATGCTATATTAATTGCTCTTTTAGAAAATTAACACCAATTCTTGAGGAACAAGATTGGCTTCTCAATGTTACAATAGATGGTGATTTGGATTCAAATAAAATGTTAGAATTATCAATCAGATATTTGCAGAGTTACAAATGGAATGGATTTTGAGCAGCACATTTATGACATATTTTCAGGATGTGTATATGCTACAGGTTTTAGAAAAGCCAATGAAAAAAATTGTAGTCTTCAAGAAAAAGATATTTGACATGTACAAATTGAAAGTTTACTCCAGCATTTATGTGACAATCTTGATTTATGTTGGCCAGAAGTGTGCTGAATCAAGCAAAATCCTGGAAGCGCAACTAAAAGAACCAACATTCAGGGCATATGCACCTTTTGAACAAAACAATGTTAGAAACTATCTTTAAGCTTCCAGTTGGAAAAGGAATCGGAACCCTTACAAAATGAAATACTCAATAGACTTAAACTTGTCTATACATCAAAACCAAATGATTACTCTGTATTGTATCAAACAAGACAAGCACTTGTAATTCTCCCATCAAAAATCCATTAACGTTGTGGAACAAATTTATTTATAATATTAATAATAATAAGATCTGTTATGACACATTTTTAATTATAATTAATATTAATAAATATTTAAATCCGTTGTAACAAGAAATTCGCTATGGTGAACTTTATTTTTCACGAGACATTACTAAATTCATTTACTTTATTTTTTGCGACACATTACTAAATTCAATTTATTTTCTTTATTTTTCACGACACATTACTAAATTTAATTATTCATAACAGCCAATTCATTAAGATTTGCTTTTGCATCAATTAATGCATTTTGAAAAATGGACAATGAGCACATATAATTGATGAATGTGCGTAAACTTCTTTGATGTTTGGTTCCATACCAACATAAATTTTTACATTGTAGGAATTTTCTGTATTTGATAACCTTTCATTTCAATAAATTTCAAAGTTGAATGATTAATACTTGTTAAAAAGAATATTTTTATTTTTTAGTTAAAAAGTGCACCTCTTGAATTTTATCAATTAGGAATAAAATTTCTTTGGATAAAACTTCTGGATTTTCAAAAGAAAGTCAATGAAAACGTGGTTCTGATGATATTAAGTGGTTCAAAATGGGTTAATATCAAAACTCTAGGTTAATTAAAAACAAAACAGCCATTTTAACACATTTAAAGATATCGATTATTTACCTTATTATCATCTTTTCTTATCATGTTAATTTATATAACTAGAAGACGAGCTGCAACACATTGTAACTACCACTCTTTAGTAACAGCTCAATCATTTCCTTTTCTTCCTTTAATAACATCATTAGTATAATTATTAGGCATTTTCTTCCAATAAAAAAAAATGTATGTTAACAAGTAGTAGTTGTTAGGTGGTGGTTGTGTGTAGTTGGAAAAGAAAATAAATATATATTATTAATAATATATATGGGGCGCGGAAAATAGAAACAGCCCTAATTGCAAATTTTACAACCCAATCAACCTATTGTTAATTTAAAGCTAGCCTGCCACCTTTACTTAAAATAATTAAAAAGACATAATTAAAAAAAAAAAAGATAACATGCTAAATCTATATATTAATAAATCTATACAATAATTAAATCATATGAATATATTTAAATACATTTTAATATTTTTTATAAGCAATATCTAAAGATTTATAAAATGACATTAATAATCTAAATGATTTTTAATCTGATAGGATTTCAATCCTAATTCTATTACGAAATTGTGATGTGAATATGAGATCTATTGGCATCAATGTTATCCTATTGTGCATTGTTTTTCTGACATCTGTTTTGAAAATATTATAATGATTAATACTTATTAGCATCAAAAAAAATTTTTATTTTTTAGTTAAAAAGTGTACCTCTTGGATTTTATCCATTACGCCATTTCGAAACCTTAAGGTTTAAAACTTTTTGCAATTTCTTTTATAAGGCGCCTCAATGGAGCCTTACTTATTGCAAAATTATTGTTATTGTGGTTGGCAAATTTACTGGTCCATTGAGAGCTGATGGATCACCAATAGACCACCAATGGACTACACATTTGCCAACTCTGTGCCAAATATTCGTAACCATTATTAACATTGTTATTATAATTAATGTCTTGTAATGGCAATGATAATAATGGCAGATTGATTAATGTAGTAGGCAAAAGCAGTGTTTAAAGAAGGAAGATCGCATCCTTTTCCCTATCTTCTACTTCTTTTATATTTTCCATTTTTATCCCTTTACTTTTGCCAATTAGGAATAGATGTACTGGATGTTCCTTCCATATCTTCGAGAAGATAGATTTCTTTGGATGAAACCTCTGGATTTTCAAAAGAAAGTTGATGGAAACATGGTTAATATCAAAACTCTAGGTCGATTAAAAACAAAACAGCCATTTTAACACATTCAAAGAGATATATTATTTACCTTGTTATCATCTTTTCTTATTATGTTAATATAACTAGAATGACAAAAAGCTGTAACTACCACTCTTTTAGTGAAAGAATGGACATTTCTTTTTTTTCTTTTAATGTTATCATTTTCTTCCAATAAAAAAAATCTATGTTAACAAGTAGTAAGTTGTTAGGCGGTGGGTGTGTGTAGTGTGGAAAGAAAAGAAATATATATTATTAATAATTATTAATAATATATATTTGATTGGCAAAACATAATATTTAAGTAGATCATGGATCAAAAAATTTTTTTATTGGTTTCAATGTTGATCATCACAAAATGTCCAATAAGTTTTCCTATTACTATGATAATAATAAATTTTAAGTATTTTAAATGTGAAATGAATATTTGTTACTAAGGGATGAGTATATGTTAATATGGGATGAGTTCTTTTTAATATGGGATGAGTTATGGGATGAGTTTCTCTAATTAGGGATGAGTTTTGTTTTTTGAAGAATTTTAAAAGAAGATTTTATTCAAAAATACTTTCAATAACTACTATACAGCAGAATACACATATAGAATAACACAGGAGTATTTGAATGCATCTCATATAGCTTCACCTTTAAGACAATTATTGATTTTGTAAAAGTCAAATTTTGATCCCGGATTTTGTATTAAAATATCACGTGATTCATCTACCCTTAAGGCTAGAGTTTGGTCACACAATACATCATATGGCAAAAAATCACAAGACCACAATTTTAAATAAGGCTATTGAATGTGTGCTTTTGATAACTTTTATTAATAAAGTTTTATGAATTCTATAAGTGAAGTTATGAATTCTTGTCCTCTACTATATGTTTTTGTTAAATTAAGGAAAATTAAATGAACAGTCTTCAAGTTAGTTAACCTTAATAACTATCAATTTATAAACAAAACAATAATTTTATAAGGCAAAGTTGTACTAATAATATTTCATTTTTATATTATATGGGGCATACTGCAACAAAACCAGACAAAATGAACATTACATCACAAAGATTTCAGGGATGATTCAACTATAGACATTCATCATTTATTCAATACTATTCCTTTATTCAAAATTTAATATGGCTTTTTATCCCATGTTTACATGTAGCAAAACCTGATTGCTGAAGATATCAATACTTCATCAAAAGAATTCATGTGTTTCATAGCATATAGAATGAAATTGCAAAAATCAATTCGCTAACAATATATATAAACAATATATTCTGATTTTCCACCTTTTATTCTATATACTACCTTGCATTACATATTTTCAGCAAGTGTAATGATTTCAAATACTTTATCTTGTTAATAGGTGAAATAGAATTTTATTAATTCAACATATTTAATATTTCAATTTTTACTTGAATAGAGTTTGAAGAAAGGATATTGCTAATTAGATTAATATTACATGTAAATAAAACATTTACAGTTATTAATGATATTTGAGGTATATTAGATAAAGAATCTATTATTATTATAATTGGAAAAACATAATAATATGCCAACAGCATAAAAAAAAGAGATAATTTTTAAAAGTGTCAACAAATTGTGATTTTAAAATCAATAATAATATCTCTTTACATTATTATATCTCAATATGTATGTGTATTAGTACTTAATTAAAAATGAAAACGCTATATAAATATTTTCAAAATTACATAATTTTGAAAGATATATATTTTTGTATCTTTCTTAATCTTGACATTAAATCCAAAGAAAGCCCAAATTTTAATACACACTGTATCCGAATTTATAGTTAACCACATTATTTAACATTGATCATTCTGTCACCACAGACAGCTCTATGAGCTGTAAAAATTTTTTCTTTAAAATTTTCATCATCGTTTATGGAGTTGGTCAACTTTTGTAATTCACCAGTTTCTAAAAGATAAAAAACAATTTGTTTTGCCATAGAATTTCTATATCCAAGTTCCTAATAAACAATAATGATAAAGATTAGCTTAATTTGATTCTAGTTGTAATTAACTAGCATGATATATATATATGTATACAAACCTTAACTTTTGGCAACAAAAGATCAAAAATTTCCGCTTTAATTTTATATATAGGTTTTGGGATTGATGATGAAGCTGATGAAGATTTATCATGGTTGAGAACAACTTCAGAATTATCAGAAACCACATGATTCTCATTTTCATTATTATCATCACTACAACCAGAATTATTTACAGAATTGAATTGGTATACTAGTTTTAAATAGGAGTGGTAATTAATCATTTTATTAAAAAAAGAAGATATTTTTTAAAAATCAAAAGTTAATTACTAAATATTCTTTAAACCTTCTAATTCTTCATAAAATTTTTTTACTTGTTCATCAACCATTACTTTATCCACTCTAAAATTTATCACTTGTAAAGAATCCAAAGATCTTGTTCGAGACAATGCAACATAAGTTTGTCCTATTTATTTGCAAAAAAAAAAAAAAAATAGCAGTAATAATCAGTCATAAATACATTGGTAATAATAATAAATAAAATATAAACCTTTTGCAAAGACTTCCTTAAGGTTGATTTTGGCTCATTCAAGGCTTTGGCCTTGACTTTTATGTATACTGATAGCCCAGGAAAGCACAAGGGGTATCTATCATTCATTCATTAATAATTAATAAGGGCATTAAAGATAAAATAAAACTTTATATACAAATTATAGACAATTATATATACCTGTCTTCGACTCGCCACTACAATTTCATCTATCGTTAACTTCCATTCTGTTAAATCAATAATTTCCTCTTTATTAGAGGTAAATTTAACGATCGGAAGTAAATTATTTATGTCCGTTACTTCTTCTTGTTCATCTTGATAATAAAATTTTTTTGTGGTTTTTGAATAGAAGCCAACTATGACTCCTCTACTGCCATTAGCTAAACCCTCCCTTAGGTTTTTAATGAGCATTACTCATGCATCACGCTTTAATTCTAATATATTAGGTGCCAAGCAACTACTCACTAGTTCTTGTAATTTTCCATCCTTTTCAGGTTGGTAATCTTTAGCTTTATATATATATAATTTATTTTTAATTCTCCCCAAATACTTTCGATTTGTTTCATTTACTTCTTTATTTGTTGCGTATCTTTTTATAATAATAATATTTATTATAAATATATAATTTTCATCAATAATATTTATAATAAAGGCTCAACTTACAACTCTGTGACTGGAGTATTCTGATCAGCATACTTTGGCATACACGATAGTTGATCCATTTTTGTCAATGTTTTGTGTGTGACAACACCAATTCTTATTTTGTTCAGTAAATTGATTAATTCTATATAAAAAGAAACTTAATAAATAATTGAAAATAATTATCTATATATAGGATAAGATTTATTTATACTTATTACCGATATTTCTCTGCCTAAAAATTTTTGTTAAGACAATGGTATGTTTTACACAATCATTCCATGATTTTGCCTCAAAGCAAAAGATAGCATCTTTTGCAACCAGCGGCAATTGGAAAAAATCACCAGTTAGGATTAACTAACATTGAATGATGCATACATATTTGTTAAAAAATTTTTTTTAACACCAAACTAAAATTAAAATTAATTGTAATTAATAAGAAACTTTTTATACCAAAATTCCACCAAATGGACGGTTATTTTCACAAATAGCTCGACCAATTTCTTCTAATTTGTCAAATAGCCTTCCATCAAGCATTGAAACTATCCAATATAACAATTAATCATATTAATGTCTGCTAATAAAATATACCAAATAAACAAAATAAACCTTACTTTCATCAATTATTAATGTTTTCATAGTTCTCCATCGGGTGTAATACAATCTAGAATCTCGAATCTTTTGTATGATATCATTTATTGGCTCATCACCGAGCCCAATACCTGTAAATGAATGTAGGGTTTTTCCATTAATGCTTACAGCAGCAATACCAGTAGTGGCAGTTATGGCTACTCTGTTATCACCATAAATATTCTTGAGATCTGAAACTATTTTTGATAATAATGCACTTTTGCCAGTTCCTAATATAGGAATCAATATTATCGAAATTACAATATGATTAATGACCGATTATATCCAAGTGATAAGTGTGGTAAACATCTTTTATGAATATTGATAAAAAAATGATGGTTTACCTCCAGAACCCGTAATAAATGTACTCTCTCTATTTTTAATAATTGTACTGTGTACAAGTTTTTGTTCATCTGATAATGTAAAGTTAGAGGTCGAAGAAGTGGGAAGACAATTCGTAATATCTTCCAAAACATCATGTTCTTTTTTGTAACTATTATTCTTGCTAAGTAAATAAAAAAAATAGCATTATTCAATAGACCTTATACAGAATTTATGAATTGTTATTTAGCAAATTTATAAATTTAGCATTTATTTATATAACTAGAACTAGAGTGACGACGAGTGGCGGGCAATAGCCACCACCACCATCCTTAAAACACTTACCTTTCTCTTTCGTTTGGATTTATATTCGTTTTTCTTCTTTTACTATTTTTGGTTGAGTGCATTTTGAAATCTACAAAATGAAAGAAAAAAGTTCGTGAATGATCAACGCGTACAAGCTAATTATTTATCCTATTGGTTTTTTTTTTGGTAGGACAGACGCGAATTGATTTTTTTTTTCTTTCTTGGAAAAACAATTTATTTTTTGACAGAGTCAAAGATGACAAAACGTGAGTGTTGTTGTTTGGTTTGGTTTGGGTCTCCTAAAGAAGAAGTGTTAATAACTAACCAGAGGTACTTTTTTTTACTTGTGTTGATATTTTTTGGTTATTATAAATATTTTAATTGGAAATCAAAACGCGGAACAGATCTTGCTGGGTAATTACAAGATTTTCATTGATAATATTTTGCTTTTCGTAATCAATAATATTAATAATATTAATATTACTATATAATTACAAGAAAATGTCAAGGCAGCACACCGTTGAAAAAGAGACATTGAGTATGCAACGTTTGATTACAGGAAATTGGCAGGCGTTGAAGCACGCACACTGCCTTGAGCACATTACAGTCATTCACACGTATTCCTCATGTACATAAGGCTAATCTGACCACGGTGCTCCCGATGATACAATGATGTTGAATTCCAGGGGGGGGGGGCAAGGTCCTGGAGTTTACCGAGACTGCATCAATCGTCAAGGACGCTTTCACTAATCTTCCCATACTAGAGATGGCTGCTGGCATGCTAGCCGAAGAGTTGCCTGCAACGATCCTACCTCTAGGGCAAGGATGGCTCTGTGACCAAGTCACAACTCTGCTGATGAATATTAAAAGAATCTGCAATTCGTTCCAAGCACAGGAGGTCACAATTCAGGGCAGGGTTGGTGGCCCTGAAATTGCATTTGGACCCTGATGTTAAGAGGAAAGTTGTAAAATAGTGTTTGTTTTGTATAATCATTTTAGTAAATGCTCTGTTTTTCTGATGCTAACCAATTTATGATTTTGGGTAGGGGACTGGATTGGGTTTTTGCCCAATCAGTTCTCTGTCCTGTAGGTTAAAATTATTGTGTGATTATATACATCTTTGTCAGCAATATGGCCAACAAGAAAAAGGTCATAAAATGGTTCAGATTTACTCATTTTCCCAAATTCTCTGCTTCTCTTTAATTTTTATTTGGCCAACTGAATTTGTTATTTTAGTAAATGGGGGTAGGGTTGTTGGTGAGTAGGCATGCCACTGACAAGACAGGGGACACCTTTGGGATATACCAGCCAAACTCATAGAAAGGGATCTTTTGTCCAGGCTTAGGTTCACATGGATGTTAAGCACAAAAATGTACACTATCAATGTATATTTTTTTTCAACAAAATAAACAATTAAATAATTAATTGTTAAATATTAATACTTTTCTTTTATAAAAATTACAGCAACCCAGGACTCAAAACTCTGAATTCAGGGAAAATCCGAAGCAGCAATCCAGGTTGCAATATCCCGAGTTGCAGAATTTTCAACCAGTTGCAGGTGCCAACTTTTATGCTAGTGTGGCAATAACACAAATCAATCATCACACAAGCACCAAGCTATCAGTAGGGTTTGTATCCATGGATACCCTAGCTATCAGTGATCAATGCCCATATGGTGACAGCCAGCCTGGTCTGAGGGGAAAATAAGGGAATGTTTTGTCCAAAGCCTTCCAGCATGTACGTGGCCTCACCTGTGGAAGAAAAATCCTTAGATATGAGGCGTGTGAAAGCACCTTAATGCATGTTTGTGATAGGAAACTTTAATTAAATCTGACACCTGTGATCAACATCAGATTTATTATTCATAAGGAACCATAATTGATAATCAGGAAGAATAATTTATTATTGTGAATCCCAGA